TCTATAATTAGTGTTGAAAGTATGCTTTTGAGGAGCTGGATCTGCTAGTGCATTTTTGGACCTGCATCACTCAAGAGGTGGAGGCTGTAGGGTTGTGAATTGGAGGGTAATCTGGGCTAAATAATTAGAACACTAAAGAAAGAAAAAGAGTGTTAACTGATGATTAATCTCATTCACTATTCAGAATGTCAGGCAGTTGGTCATATTAAGTGACCTCTTAGTTTAAAATAGTACTGTGGTCCTATTAACTCAGTCTTTCTCAGTTTCACCTGGGATGCTTTTGTTTAGTCACAAACTTGCCATATTTTTAAATATCGGGTGAGTGCTCTCTTTCTCCATGTTTTACTTTTTGTTGTTATTGTTATTAAATTTTCATGATGTAACCCAGGCTTCCCTTCCTATTAGTATACCACAGAGGAGAACCTGGAATTTCTGATTCAAATACCTGCATCTCCCATATTCCAGTATGACAATAGTGTGCTACCATGCCTAGCTAGCTTTTCTTTAGTTTTAAAGAGAAAATGTGTAAGACCAAATTTCAATTATGAAATTTCACAATATTTAACAAACTCTTCAAATTTAATCATATTTCTACTTTTCTGGATTCCATCTCATTTTTTCCTAGATATCTTACCCATTTATTATCTTCTCTTCTTTTAAATTATAATCTAAAAAACAGAACATCAACAGAAAACCTGTGTGTTATTCTACAAAGATAATGACTATTTGGATATAGGCTGTGAGAGCCTGAAAGAGCAGGTGAATAGTGTATTTGTGAAGCATTCATGATAAGAAGAGGCAGCGAAGGTGCACGCTTCACCTAGAAACACTCAACACTAGGGTTTGAAGATGTAGCTCAGTTGGCAGAGCATGAAGCCTTTGGTTTGACCACAAAGAGTACATAAACCAAACTGGGTGTGGTGGCACATTCCTAAAATTTTAACATTCAGGAAGCAGAGCCAGGGTCTTAAAGCCATCATTGACCATGATAAGTTCAGGACCACTATGACCTACTTGAGACTTTGCCTCAAAAAGTAAATACACAAAATATTCAAAACTAGTGCAAAATAATGAGGTCCCATTTTGGTTGGGCATCTTAGCTCCATGGCTCTTGTTATAATTGCAGATCTATATTGAAAGATAAAGTAATTTCCATTTTGAGGGTGTTCCTGGGATGCAGGTATTTCAAGGTAAAATTGTAGCATCTGGATGTTTTTGTGTCCTAAAGTAATACACTTTCTGGATACAAACATTATTATAATGAGGCCATTTAAACTAAAACTAAAAAAAATACAGAACGCTAGGCTGGGGATGTAGTATTGTTGGTAGATTGCAGGCCTAGCATGCTTGCAGTCTGAATTTTGATGCCCAAATGTCATAAACTAGGATAGTGACACATTCACTTAGGGGTAAGGCAAAAGAACTGGGAGTCCAAATTCCTCCATGGCTACATAGAAAATCTGAGGCCATTATGGAATACAAGAGAACTTGTCAGAGAGAGAGAGGGAAGGAGGAAGCAAGAAAGGGATGTGTGGATGAATGGAGGGAGGGAGAAGGGAGGAGACAGAGAGAGAGAGAGAGAGAGAGAGAGAGAGAGAGAGAGAGAGAGAGAGAGAGAGAGAGAGAGAGAGGGACTAATTATATCATATTACCTGTGAGGACAGGAAGTATGTGATTTTTACTTTCCTGTGAAAGTTTGCCATTTTCCCTGTGCAGGAAGAGCACTGATCACTACTTACTCTTCCTGTAAGTAAAGCAAGACGTCAAACTCTATTTGAGGGATGACCCCTTTTCAGAAATTATAGGCTCTGAATGTCTTGCCAGCCCATCATCACTGTCCATCTGCTAATTCTCTGCACATCGAAGCAGCAGCTGTCATTGCAGAAACGCTACAGTAGATAATAAGATGGGGGTACATTTCATCTTCGCATGCTTAAAACAAATCCCTGCGAAGAGCAGCAGGAGCTCCTGGGACGACAGAGATCTCAGGTGTCATTAACATAAAATGCCAAATGGATTTGCAGATTGGGAGCAAATGGATTTGCTTTAAAAGAAAAAGCTCTCAAGGTAGGTGTAGTACACAGTGTGGTCCTCTGCAGTCGCAGAGCTGTAGGAAATATCAAAGCCATAGGCACACACAGAGAAACCTCCCAATCGCAGTCACGCATGCAGGCCTGAATACAAATGCAAGCATATGTGCTTCTCAATTCTGCTCAGCCTAGTTATGCCACTGGGATGGTTCGGTTTATTTATCCCAGAAACAAACAGCTACCAAACAAAACTTTCCCTAAACTAACAGCTCCCTAACCTCTATATTATTTTCACTGGCACAACTTTTCTTCACATGCAGGTCATGGATAATTTCCTACGTCTTCTCCCTTATTCCTGGCTAGTAGCCTAAAGAATAATCAGTAATTCCTTTGCTAATTTTTTGATTCATTCTTTTCCGTTGCTTCCCACTGCCCCTACCATGAAGTGTGATTAAATCAAATGAATCTCAAAGTGGATCACAGCCTCTTCTCGGTGGTCCCTGCCCAAAGTTCTTTTCTCTTCAATGCATCCTGCACATCAGTACGTAACACATTTTCATAGGCAGTATAGATTGCATGAGGCAAGAAAAGAGTGGACACAGTTACAGTTGTGCCATGCATCCCTGACCATTGCAGATGTGAATGGAGTTATGGATAGAGTCGTCATGCTTGGGTGTTGATATAGCTGTGGGTATAGTCGGGATGTCACACAGGAAGACATCAGTAGATGCAGGACTGTGCAGCTAGTTTTCCATGTCAACACAAATATTACATATAATATCATTTGATCATCAAGATAATCCTGGAGGAGACCAAGCTTTGATGGTGCAAGACAATGATGTCCATGTTAATGATAACTATGGAAAGCAGGTGTGTAATTTTTCCAAGTGAGAATACTGACTCTAAATGAGGTCTCCAAATCCCATAACTGGTGATGGAACTAGACTCTGGAACTATGTCTTCTTAATCAAAGCTTGGGTGATTTCTAGCAGCAGTACACTATTTTTGAGAACCATGGTACAGAATTGTGTTTCTGCTGTATAGTAACTTATGAACATTTCCATGAATATGTCAACTCTGAATTTGGTCTCCATGGAACTGAGAGAGAGAAGAGGGGGAGAGAATTGCAGAATTGTTGGCTGCTGCATACCTAACAATACACGGACTTTGTTTATATAAACAGGACGGCTTTGAAAGAATCTCAGCTCATTTTATCATGGTCAGTCTTACAGAAAAAATAAAATCCACACTGTTGATGAGAATCCAGGTCAAGGCAATAAAATCACACAGTAGTTAAAGTGTCTTCAGGCTTTTGGATGCCTTGACTGGAGAAGAAAAACCAATTGAAATGCAGCAAATATGCCAAGATCAAGTCTGGCATGCTCTTCCTTTACACTGCTATTGGCATTAAAAATTAGTCTGTTGCTATATATCCAATGATAACCTTGAACTCCTGTTCTTGCTGCCGCTGCTTCCTGAGGGTTGAGATTAAGGTCATGCACTCACACTCTTGGCTTAGTGGTGCTGGGGATTGAACCAAGGGCTTCTTGGACACTTAGGCAAACACTGTTACCAAGTTAGCTACATCCTCAGCTCCTCAAGTCAAAATCAGGATAAATGAATGACTAAGGATGTTTTATTTCTAGTGAGTTATAAGAGAGATTACAAGCAACTAGAAACTAATGTCTAAAGATGATTTCAGAACATGAAAATTGAAATATTATATGAGGGAGCCTGAGTCTTTTCATCTCCAAGATGAATTGAAATTAGGGTAGTGGCCTCAAAACAAAAAATGTATCTGCTTCTCTATTTAAATGTCAAGGTAAATTTTTTCTGTATTATTTCCTGAACAGTCTAATGAGGGGACAAAATAAATAAAAATAATATTAATATAAAATTCTCCAAAATGGTTCTGTAAGGACTCTGATTCCTTAGCTTGGGAATTTATAAAATTTTGAATGTGGGGCTGACCCACTGATATATAATAGGTGGGAATGGAAGATTGAATATGGGAAGCTTAGTCAAATGCACTATCAAGCACACTTTCACAGAAGAAAATAAGCAGTTCCATTGTGGTGTAGATTGGAAGGATACTAGTAGTAGGGGATTTAATGGTGAGAGTTGTGGTAATAGAGATGTTGTGGTGACCACCTCAATCTGTGGCAACTTGCCGGTTTATTGCTTAGGATAAATTACATCATAGCAAAAGCATTAGGAACATGTCCTATGGATAGGCTGCTTCTGGTAAATTTTCTACTTGTCTTGGGCTCATAGGATGATTCTACTTGGAAGCATTACCTCTTGATTGAGAAGTTGAGTCACCCTTGAAACTAACATGTTAGCTTTGACTGTATGTATCCCCAGAGAACATGCAATCTTGATCTCATTCTCTCTCTGGCTAGAAAGAGAAACAATGGAACAGAAAAGGGTTATGTGGGCTAGAGACAAAGAGACCTGGGTGTAAAGCCTTTGGTTACATATCTTGGTTCACTCATGTAATTGATTTTTAGACCCCAGTGTCTATATTGGAGTGAAATAACATTTAGTTTCACAGAGCTATTGGGTCAGTTAGAAATATTGTATTTCACCATACCCATGTGCTATCTTGAACTCAAATTAATTATTTGTAGAACTGAAGGACCTGGGGAGTCGTACATTGAATTTGTTTTTTATGGGTGTATACAGTGTATACAGTAGGAAATTGTGTTTCCCAACTCTGTCTTAAAACTCTATTAGCCTAGCATTAAGTCAAGTGCAGTTTCTGGTTCTTTTAGCAGCTGCAAATAAGTAGGCCATTCTGGACACTTAAAGGACAGATCTGCAGCTTCCTGGACATCTGGAGTTGGTGGCAACTGGGCAGGAGTCAGAGGGAAGCTGGATTCATTAGTTTGTTTGTCTGCTTGGGTTTTATTCTGTGAAGCTATTTTTCTTCTAAATGTCTGTTTCATTGCTTATTGTTCCTTCCTACAGTCACAGATGCTCACTGAGGGGCGAGGATCTCAATAGACAGTGGCTCCTTCCCCAGGCTCATCTCCAGCCAACCATCTACCATGCCAAAGGTCTCCTCCACTACCTGTGCAGTATTGGCCGGGGCCCTGTGGTGAGTCACTTCCTTCTTATCATCATTTCTTTCTGTACTCTAACCAGATTCCTTTTACCCTCCAGGAAGCCGTTTATCAGGTGTCCAGGCAAGAAAAACAGAGGGAAAATGTATGTGATAACTTTAACGAGGGGTTTGCTGCAAGCACTACATGGCTTGCAAGAACAGAATTCCTCACATTATGCTTCTGGAGGCTGGGCACCCTGCAGTCAAAGAGATGGCAAGCTATTCTCTGTCCAGGAACTTGCTTTGTAGACCAGGCTGGCCTTAAACTCACTAAGACTACCTGCCTCTGCCTCCTAAATGCTGGGATTAAAGAGTTTAAAGGTTTATCTCTCAGAGAGTATCAAGAGACAGGCTGTTGTTTAAAACCTGCAAAGTTCCACTGCCTCAGATTTTCTCAACAACTTCTTGTTTGCACGTAGAACAACAATTGCTCCCACCTCCAAGAATCTAAATTCAGTACTGGTTCAAATATATAATATTGTGCTGCTGTCATCCATGCTTCACCCAAGAAGGCAGTGCAATCTCTGCTGGTGATTGTCTTCAATTGGTTCTACATAGCAAGGCTCCAATCTCATGGTTGAAAGCTGGACAAACGATGTTTCCCTGTGTGGGAAGCTTTAGCCTCCAGGAGAAGAGAGTGATTTAGAATGGAAGAATCCCATATCTGATACACTTTACCACACACACACATATTAAACCCACAGCAAAACAGGATTTCTTTCTGCTCTGACAATCTCTAATTGAAGAACACGGCATTTATTTTAAAGTGTGACAGGTGAAAGGCTTGTTTAAAAGTATAAATAAACATTAATTAGCTATAAACATGACAGCTGCAGACTTGTTTCCTGCTGGGACCATCTGAGAGGTGGGTGAGCAACAGCTGAGTACTAACTGTGATTTGCAGTGCTACATAGCTCCCTAATTGGCTGAATGCCACCATTTAGTTACCTACAGGGCTACATTTAACCCTCCACTCACCGTGGGCAGAGGTATCATAGCCATTCACTTGTACTGGACCTGATTTTTAAATTCTGTGACTGGAAATTAATTTGACTCTGTCTAAGTTCTGGATCTTAAGAAACTGTTTGGAAGCACTGAAATAAAGTACTCTGTGATTATTGGGAAGATCCACCTATTATAGATTCTTCTCAGGCATTTGACTCTTGGGTGAATTAATATGAGTTGTAAGGACCAATGAGATATGAGACAGAGATGAAAATCACTGCCCTGATTCTTCTGAGGATTAACAAAAAGCAGGAAATGCACCTCTCTTCTTCATTTCCTGCATCCATCCACCTTCTCAACAGGTTGGATAGTCATATCTCTGCTCATATATTAATTTATATCATAGAATTCAATGACTGTGGTAGGTACAATCATTGTAGTTTCAGGTCACAGGTCACCATTGAAAAAAGTCAAAGAAAGAACTCAAGGCAGGAACTCGAGCAGACACTGTGGTGGAATGAATGCTGTACGGGCTTGCTCTCTGGCTCATGCTCAGCTTTCTGTCTTACATAGCCCACACCCATTGACCTAAGGATGGTGCTTCTCAGAGTGAACTAAGCCCTCCTACATCAGTAGTCAATTAGGGCATTCTTTCACAGACATGATCTCACGCTATGAGATGTAGGCAGTTCTTCAATGGAAGTTCTCTTCCCAAGTAACTCTATGCTATGTCAAGTTGACATTAGAAACTAACAAGTACAGCAATCAAAACTAGCCCCCCCAAAATAAGAAAGTCCAGTTAACTAGCAGTACATTCAATAATATGAATCAATGTCAAAACATTTTGTTAAGTGGAAGAAATTCAACATGAAAGGATACATGCTATATACTTGTACTTCAGTAACAAGGGAAGGTAAACATGAGAGTACTGTTTAACTCCAGGGAAGGGGAATGAATATGTAGGTTTAGGAGAGAACTTGTAGGTAGTGGAAATATTTTATATCATGACTGAGACTCAGGTATTACCAAACTTGCTGAACTATATATTCAGTATTTATATTTTCCAGTAATGGGACACACTTGCATGAATACAGAAAATTTAAAAATACAAAGCAAGAATACAGAAGTTAAGAATGCAGCTGGAGAATAATTGGGGTGCATGAAATAGGACTGGTCCGTCTGTATGGGTGTTAGTCAAATCAAGAAAGGCAGCTTTGCCAATATCTAAGAGAAAGCAGTGAAGATGCTGTTTTGAAGTCCTGAAGATCTGGCCAGAGAGAAAGCACGCAGGCAGGGAAGCCCAGTGAAGTAGACAGGTACAAGAATCCACTGTTAAGAGGCATTGACTTGCTTCTTATTTGTGAAGTTTCACCTAAGAGCCAGAAGACCCTTGACCCAGTAGACTGCACAGCACAGCATTAACACTAGAAGAGAGCTCTTAGGCTACATGCACGTCATGGGCTGCTAGGCAAATAGTCTCTGATGAGTTGCCATGTTGCAGTTGGCTTGGTCCTTGGGCTGCTGCCAAGAACCGGGCTTCAGGATTAAGAGAGGTATCGATTCCCATCCTCATGGCTCTTGCTATGTGAGTGTATGTTGATAAAGGGATTTCAGGGTTCTTTGAAGAGCACATTGATATCCGTTTACAATTCACACGAGCTGGACTGTCTTCTGCCAGGGGAGAGAACAAGGTGTGTGTGTGTGTGTGTGTGTGTGTGTGTGTGTGTGTGTGTGTGTGTGTGTGTGTGTGTGTGTGTGTGTGTGTGATGCATGCGTGAATTTGTTTACTTTCTTTAAGGCCCAGTGGAATAAGAGCTTTCTCCATGTAAAATATATCCCTAGTTACATTGGAATCCCCAGCATATGTGTTGAGTAAACTAGCCTACTTTTGAAAAGGCACAGACAGAGCAGGGAGAGAAGGTTAGAGGTTCCTAAAACCTGCCTACATAGAGCTCAGGAGATTCAGTGCAGTTTATCATCTGTACTGTGTTCCTCAGAAGGGGAAGAAAAATGGTGTTGTCTTTGCTCAAATCTATTGCTTGTTAAGGATGTAAATACAGAACTTTCTACTCTGCATTTGAGTATATGATGGGGGAACTATCTACCATAAACCCTTCCTAGTATACTGGGGAAGGAGAATGTAATGCTCATACAGGTGCTGGAAGAAAGTCACTTCAGTTCTGTATTCTTTTATTTAGAATTGCTCCTTTCTAGGAGAATAACTAATGCTTCATGGCAATTGAAAAGCAATGTGTGGTGGTGCACTGTTACTGACATGGATAGCTTATCTGTAAAAGAATTGCCAAAGTTTCTTAGATAAACTTATATTAAAAACCCAAGGGTGTTTTTCTTACTTTCTTTTTTTTTCCTTTCTCTATTTTTTATTTAAATTAAAATCAAGCTTGTTTTACAAGTCAATCCCAGTTCCCTTTCCCTTCCCTCCTCCCCTGCTCCCACTAAACCCCTATCCCATGCCCTTTTTGTTCCCCAGGGAGGATGAGGCCTTCCATGGGGGTAATCTTCAAAGTCTGTCATATCTTTTGGAGCAGGGCCTAGACCCTCCCCCATGTGTCAAGGATGAGAGAGCATCTCTCCATGCAGAATGGGCTCCCAAATTCCATTTGTGTGCTAGGAATAAATATTGATCTACTACCAGAGGCCCTGTAGATTACCGAGGCCTCCTCACTGACAACCACATTCAGGGTGTCTGGATTAGTCCTATGCTGGTTTCCCCCTTATTCAGGTCAGCTGTTTCTGTGGGTTTCACCAGCCTGGTCTTGACCCCTTTGCTCATCATTCCTCCCTGTGTGCAACTGGATTCCAGGAGTTAAGTTCAGTGTTTAACTATGGGTATCTCCCTCTACTTCAATCAGCTATTAAATGAAGGCTCTAGGATGGCATATAAGATAGTAATCAATCTCATTTTGGGGGAAGGTCATTTAAGGTAGCCTCTCCATTAATGCTTAGTTAGTTGAGGTTGTCCTTATAGATCTCTGAACATTTCTCTAGTGCCAGATTTCTCTGTAAACCTATAATGACTCCTTCTATTATGGTATCTATTTTCTTGCTCTCCTGTAATCATTCCCCAACTGAACCTTCATGTCCTTGTCTTCCCTCCGCTTCTCCCCTTCTCTTTCTCCTAGCTCCCACTCCTTTCCCCTCATGCCCCCAATTTTCTCAGAAGATCATTTCCGTTTCCTCTTCTCCAGGAGACCTGTATACCTGTCTTAGGGTTCTTCCCAAGGACGCTTTTTATGTCTCTTCTATCGGTGTCTTTCATGTACTTTATAAGTACTATGATGCCCCCCCACAAGAAAAAAATGAATAGTTCAGACCAGAAGCTAGTGAAGAGAGTCCTAAAAAAAAGTGTGATAAAGATGCTGAAGTGCAACTCTTCACAGTTGATGGATCTTGGTGGGTGGTGTTGCGAGGGAAGGGCTCACTTTTCTTTAAGGTCCTGGCCACTGGGAGTTTGACCATGCTCCAATGAGTACATGGGCAACACACACTGGACTTGGTGCTTTTTGGAGGAAGGCACAAGAGTCAAAGGGTGGACCTGGGAGGAATGGTACTTGAGAGCAATTGTTCAAGTACATTGTACAAGGTTCCAATATAATTAATAATAATAGTATGTTGGGAAAAATATAATGAAAACAGTTAAAAAATAAATGGCAGAGGGTTGAGGGAGGGGTAGAAGGTGGTAATAACTGTGTGGAAACGGGCAATTGAATAAGTTTTGCTTTGCTTGGAGTTGTTCTATGAAAGAGGGCTGAAAGTCAGTACACAGGCTTCAAATAGAGATGGGAGGGGTGCTTGCTTTTCTTCAATCTTTCCTCTAAAGACTGTTCAAAGACAGCTGATCTTGTGAGTGTATAAAGGTGATAGTAATTGTGGACAGGTTCTAGCACATAAAGAAAGGCTTGCAGAAAGCAATGCACAGTCAGACTCAGAGGCCAAAATCACCACCTTCAGTACAAGCCAGGAAACTGAGGCAGAATTGGGATAAACCTTCCTATACTAAAAGGGTTACCACACGATGGCTTAGCATT